ATTTCTCTTAATGATAAAAACAAATTTTGAGGTTTAATTAAAAAATGTTACTAATAAGAATTTTTCACTTCTTTCCCATGCGTGCATGATCTTGATGGCAATAAAATAACTATACACATATTTAAATGAAAGTGACACTTGTCTATTTATTATGTTCATGTGTCCACTTTGCTACTATTTTAAAATATATGGGACCACATTCATTATTGATTAGTTGTAGCATTATGATGGTTTTGGAGTTTCTACCGACACTTGATATTGGTATTGTTTCCTCTTGTGATAATGCAAATTGCAAAGAAAAAGAGACCATATCCTTGCATAACAATTATTTGTTTCTCATCCATCTTCATGCTATTCCAATATTACTCTGTTATTGAGACCGTTGAAGTGCAACATTCATTTTCTTTTTAAACCAAAATAAAAGCATCACCAGTCAAGAACATAACAAGTTTCAACGACAAAATTGCTCCTCATGGTATGCTGATTTTATTTATTCATCTGCATATCTAACTATTTTTCATATACATATTCATATTGTTTATTTTTTATTTATTTATTTTATTTTTTTTTTATTTTTTATTATTTTTTTTTTTGTTGTAAATTAACATTCCTTGTATTATTCGTGAACAATTAAAAAGTATATTAAATTATTACCTTGGATAAGAGGATCATTAATAAGCTTTTGATCATACTTCCGTCATGATAAGGAATTCGGCTGCCAATACACCTCTATTTTGTTCCGGAGTCCGCTCATGCCGTCGTCACCCATATACACCATCACCATTATCTTGTATGCACTTCTTTTTCATTTATGGGGTGAAGGTGCATATGTTCCCTCACAACCAGGGAATGGAGAGTCATCATGTTCGTGAATAAATATGCCCTCCATTTCATATCACTATTAGAAGAGGGGTGGCTAGTGGAGTAGTGGTGGTGGTGGGAAGTTGTCGGAGAGAGTTCTTGAAGAGAATAATGATTTGTAACACGTAGATTTCTGATACGGAGGATCATCTTTATGATGCAACCGCAGAGCATACTCTCGTTATATTACAAATCGAGCTCTAGAGGGTAGAGACTCGTGCTGATAACGTGTTATAAAACTAAAGATAAAGAGAAAGAATAGAGAAAATGTTTCTCTTAGATGCAATTTTCATTATAACTGAAGCTC